TCCTCATGTCATCATTTACTCATCCTTGTGTTTTTTTTCCAAACACAAATGACTTGAACACAAAATTATGAGTTTCGCATGCATGAGTTGTATGAATAACCTTTAAACCTGTTATTTAGTATTATTTATATACAATATTTATTTTGAATAAGCTTTTATTTTTATATTTTCAGATTTTACTTTGTTTTTGTAGTATATGCTTTTCTCCTTTTTATTTTATTTTTTTTAGATATATTTCAATTTAGCTTTATTTTTATTTCCGTTTTAGTAATTTTAGTACTTCTTTTTAAACTTATTTTTTTTCTAAGGCAACATTTCCTATCTTCATCAAGTGTTATTTATGCACTATTATAGTATTTATTAATATTTTAAAGCTTTTACTTTTATATTTTCAGTTTTAATTTTAAGTTTAGTTTGTTCTGTGCTTTTGTTAATTAGTTTAGTTATTTTTATTTTTATAGTATTTATTAATATTTTTAATAAGCTTTTTTTCAGTTTACATTTTAGTTTTAATAATTTGTCATTTTCATTTGTTTTTAATGATATTATTTATGAATAGTTTGAATAAGCTTTTATTTGTATATTTTCAGTTTACATTTTAATTTTATTTTTTAATTTTGTTGTCATATTAGTTTTTTTAAATGAATGTATGTATCAATAGTTTGAATAAGCTTTTATTTTTAGATTTTCAGTTTTCATTTTAATTTTAGCAGTTTATGTACTTTTGTCATTTTTATTAATTTTTTTACAATTATTCATTTTTATTTCTATTCCGCTTTATCTAATTTTTTTTAGTATTAGTAATTTTAGTACATCAACTTATTTTATTTCCAGTAGTTGCCAGATTTTTCAAATCTTCGTTCAAGTTTTTCATCTAAAAATATATATGTCATCTTAATTCCAATTATTGTTTAATAACGAAGATTTTTAATAGTCTTAGTTACCAATAACAACACTGGTTTAATAATTGTAATTTTTTTTGGTAAAAAATTATCTGAAATTAATATTTGAGCAAGTACATAACCAGCCAGGGTTCAAAACTATTGCCTTACTTTAGCCCGATTCACAGAGGTTAGCTTATAATAATGTTTTCTAATTTGAGTGGTACGGGTAGGTTTTCGTGGGAAATTAGAGCATGGCACTGCGTCATTACGTCACGTCTGTAAACATAAAGAAGTTGTCCCGGCTACTAGGCTATCATATGTGAGGATCCTGCAGGTGGCCGATCGTTTATAATCTTTTCTCACAGCAGCCGGAATAATTAAATGTATCATTTTGATGGCGGATTGTAATGTGTTTATGAAACACATGTGAATGAAATTAAATTATATTCCAGTTATAAATGTGCTTCTGATTACAGATAGCCTGGGATTACAACGATTTGTATTTTAAAGAAAACCAGTTCGAAAGGAGCATAATTTGCTCTTTGGGTTAAAATAATTTCTTAATGTGAAATTCAAAGAGTATGACAATTAGATTAGACTGTGCAGAAATTGAAATATACACACTATACTCATAGTCACCAATGCTGATGTTGTTAACATTAATCATTTGAGAATAAAGTTTAGATTTAATCACCATTGGTAGCGAGATTTATGGTAATGCATTTTTCCTCAGTTGGTCAGAACAAACGTGGCAGACTTGTTACTTGTTCAGATGGCAATATACGGTGAAAATTCTTATTTGGATCATATTCCAAGACGTAGGCTAGAATCTATGATTCTGAAGTACAGTAAATATCCACACCGGTGCGGTGACTGACTGCCACACATACTCTTCAGAACATTAGATTCATCCGCACTGGAGCCGTGCCGACTCACAACCCACGCAAGCTAGATAATTCCGCACACAGCTGCAATTGCAGGTTTTCAAACAGAGATGGCGACAAAGAGGCAAAACTTACGGACTGCAGCTTTAAAGATCTGAGCTAAAGGTTTGAGGTTCAAAGTCCTGTGAAATGTCATTATTGTGTCCTGTGAGACACAGCAGCTAAATGAGTCCAGCAGTACACTCTTAAAAATAAAGGTGCTTCAAAAGGTTCTTCACAGCGATGCCATAGAAGAATCATTTTTGGTTCCACAAAGAACCATTCAGTCAAAGGTTCTTTAAAGAACCTTTGACTGAATGGTTCTTTGTGGAACCAAAAATGATTCTTCTATGGCATCGCTGTGAAGAACCTTTTGAAGCACCTTTATTTTTAAGAGTGTAGTTAGTCTGACTTCCACTCAGCTGAGCCAGAATCATCTATCGATGATTGTCTGACAGTTATTTTTTTTCTCCAGAAGTTACGTAAAACACCAGCGCCAGCGGAGATACAAATCAATCTGATATCTGTCCTAATCCACATCCGATGCGCCAAAGCCGTGATGACAGACGCAGAGAATCAGGTGTGACTCAATAAGACAGACTATAATATGAAACCAAGACAAATGGATGTGTCTCTTTCCTCAAGCGCCTTACCGAGCAGCTCGCAAAGACTGAGAGAAACTAATGGCCATGACACAAATATTCAATTGTTTTGGGGTATAATACAGTCCTCAAAAAACCACAGATCAGTGGCAGTGTGTGTGTGTGTGTGTGTGAGAGAGAGAGAGAGAGAGAGAGAGAGTTTCTGACCTTTTGAGGACAACTCTGCTGAAAATGTCTCCAGAACATCTAAAGCAAACTTTCAACTATAGGAAAAGGGCCTGAAACTCTTAAAAGGGTTGTATAAAGGGCAGATATTTGATGTGTTCAAAACAAGCTACTGTTTATGAAGTATTAATTATTTCTGAGTTCATTTTACCTATTCAATATTTCCCATCAGCTATTTGTGCTTTTATTCATTTAAAACAAAAAACGATTGTACACCAATTTGTACTGTATCCAGCATCTCAAGTATCTCAGCAGAGAAACTGCTTTCTAACGAGACTAACTAATATTTCGAAAAATGTATAGTGTTAGTCTGTGGGTTAATCTGCAGTCATAAAGACAATAGACGTGTCTGTGTGTGAAAAGCCCTGCATGACAGAGAATGTCCTCATTACTTCACAACAGCCATCATTACCATACATTCTGTCAGTCCGGGGCCCTTCAGTGTCACAGGCCCCTGATATTTCCTTGGGTATCTTGCGCGCTGGTGGGATTTCGACGAGAGTCTGGGTAAATTGGAGTGTGTGCAGTAGAAGATAATGACTCAGGGTGAAACTGGGTTGTCTTGAGTCAGCACATTTACAAAGAAACACGCCGTGACTGACTGACTGACTGAGGACAATATCAGACTGATTTCTGCAGAGCTGGAGGAAATATTCTGCATTCGCTTCCAGAGAGAAATGGATGCACTGACTATCTGCAAAGAGCTTTTCTTTTCTTTTTTGTCTCTTTATGACACACACCCGTAACCGTCCGAGGCCTGTTAATTGCACACACCGCTGAATAACATTGATTTAGTCAACTGTCAGCAGCTTCTCTCCAGTGTTCCTGAAGTCTGCCGTTAAAGTTAATGACATTGGAAAGAAAGTTAATGACATTGGAAAGATGAGCAAAATGAAACGGCTCTTAATGTGCCTTAAACAGCATGAATTCATCAGGATCCGTTCTGCTTTTACCTGTTAATGGGACAAATCAGAAACGAGTAGGCAAGTCTAAATGAAGTTTTCCTGCCATATTAAACTGCATGACTGTGCTTTGAAACACACAAACACGCAGCGGCGGATCATCTTCTTACCAGCAGGTGGCGCGCTTCGCTTAGAAATAAAACAAAGGTTAGTGAGGAAGACGTCTAGATTTTATTTATTTATTTATTTTAGAACACATAATATTAGACATTATATGCACTATTTGCCAAGAGAAAATAGAAAAAAAATAAACAGAGGAAATTATATTTTTTTTAAATAAAAAGTTATTAATTCATTTCTATATACAGTTTTAAATTTAAATGTACTCTTCTGTACATAATATTTGCCCCCATCCCCCCATCATATGTTTCTTTCTTATAGGCCTAATGTATAAAAACAAGAATTACCATTTTCTAAGAAATATCAGGGACACATGACATAAATACCCATAACCTTTTCTCATAAGTTTGTTCTTACAATAGTAAAACAGTTCAAATCCACCTTCAGTTTAAAGGTCAAAACCAGACTGTGTTTATTGCCATGAAGAGAAAGCGAAACGGTGACTTGTGGAGTAAAATGATCTTCTGCTCACCAAGACTGCATTTTTTTAAATTAAAAAAACAATATATAAATAAATAAATATATATATATATATATATAAATTGTGAAAAAATATTACAATTTCAAATAATTGTTTTCTACTTGAATATATTTTAAAATGTAATTTATTCCTATAATATAAAGCTGAATTTTCAGCATCATTACTCCAGTCTTCAGTGTCACATGATCCTTCAGAAATCATTCTACACTCTAAAAAATGCTGGGTTAAAACAGTGTAGAAGGATTTCTGAAGGATCATGTGACACTGAAGACTGGACTAATGATGCTGAAAATTCAGCTTTATATTGTAGGAATAAATTACATTTTAAAATATCATTTCTAGCATATAGAGTGTAATATGCTGATTTGCGGCTCAGGAAACATTTCTGATTATTATCAATGTTGAACAACTGTGATACATTTATTTTTTCACGATTAGTTGATGAATCTAAAATTCAAAAGAACAGAATTTATTACATTATACATGTATTTACAGTCACTTTTTGATTAATTAAACATCCCTGCTGAATATAAGTATTACTTAATTTTTTTTACTATGCATAAAGATGTTATCACAGCTGAATCATTGTAAAAACATTATTGGGAAGTCAGTTTTAACATCTGAATAATCCATTATGAGGATAGCGCTATGTGTCACACAATGCATGACAAACTTGAACGTTTTTAAAGCCATTTTTAGTTCATATTTTAGACACGTGAGGGGTCTGCAGGGGTCAGTGTTTGTCTACCTGTATGAGATACACTCAGGTGTGTGTCTGTGCGCATGCTGGCTCCGCCCATCTGACCTGCCCAGGCCAGCACACACAGGAAAAGAGAAAGAGAGAAAGAGAGAAAGCGGAAAACTTCAGCTGATCTCCTCATGGCTGTTCTTACGATCTGAGGACTTTACCATGACGCGCCAGGACTTTATATCAATCATCAGAGGAGTTCATGACAGCTCTATAGATTGACAGCGTGGATCTTTAGGTTTAGAGACTTAACGCGTGGTTTGTTTATTCGCGATCGAGACAAACTTGCGCCAAAACGCGCGTGCGGACGCGGAGACTTGTGCGCGGAGGTCAGCGCGGGCGCGTATTGAGTCGCGAAAGGTACGAGACTAGCGCACTTCTGTGATCCGGACTTTAGGGTTCAAACTTCCCTCCTTTTCCTTTGTGCCGGAGGACTAGAGCAGGCCGGTGGCGCGCAGCAGCACCAGGCCGCGGGTTAAGACGCCCTAAACGGGCGTTCGAGGAATAGAAGTGATTTTACAGAACAAAAAATGGATCCAAACTCAGCATCTGCTGGTGCTCCCAAAAGTGGGAAAGACAAGGAGAAGAAAAGCAAGAAGAACTATGACGAAGGAGACGGAAAGAAGAAATTTGTAAGTGTTTGATGCTCGTGTTGTGCTGTCAGTAGGCTGCTGTAGTGAAGCGTCAGGGTGTTAGTAAACAGATTTATGCTTGAACCAGGCTGTTTATTCAACTCGGAGATGTTTGAATTCACACTTCCTACATGAAATCACGAAGCTCTGAGCAGTTTGAGGAGTTTCGCAGCTCGCTCGCTACGTGCTAAGACCTCTCCGATGAGGAAGTCGAGTGTGAAGTGTGTTTTTTTTGAAGCATCACTGTTCCTTCGAAGGGTTACAATTATCAGGAAGGGCCCTCAAACGTTCAACGCTGAACCTCTTTCAATTCAGGAGACTTTTAAACACCTACTTTTCTTGTTAGATACCTGTCACCTCTGATAGTAACACATAAAATATGTTTTTAGACGGTGGCAATACTATGGAGTTCCATGTAAAAATCATACTTTGAAAAATATAATATTTTACCGCGACATGCAACATTGTTTCACCGCAAAATGAAACGTTGTTTCTGAATGGAGCGCTTACGATACATTCTGACTGTAGTAACGTTCTGTTTCGAAGTGTAGGCTAACTGTTGAAGTGTGTAACGTTGTTTTAGAGCGGTTTCACTGTGGCTTGCGTGCTGTCACTAGCAGAGCGGCATCGATTACAGAACAGATTCGGTAACCGGAAGTTTATTGGCTTTGGGTAAATAACACTTGGAAGTCGTGGAACTGGAAAAGCGCGAATGAGAGAGAGTTCTGTGACGTCATAAAGGAGTCCTGGAGCTCGAGTGGATTGGGGATGTTTGGAGGGCACTCGCGTCAAGACTCAAGCCACGCCCACCAGCTGCACTGTGCATACTGCACACATTATATTATAAAGTGTGCAGAATGCACAGTGCAGCTGGGGAGATGCTGGTGGGCGTGGCTTAAGTCTTAAAAAAAAAAGTGCTTATAATTTTTGCACACTATATGTAAAAAAATATACATATAGGCTACACATATGTGGATGCGAGGGAAGGCGAACTGGAAGTTCAGACATTATATAGTTAAATTTAAAAGCGCCATGTTTTTAGGAAACAAATCCATCATGAAGGTAATTTAAATGTATAGTGTTGCTTTTGACCGAAATATAAGATCCATAATAATACTTCCTCCAGACAGTTGCCTTGTCTGATTCAGTAGAGAAATATGCACAGATCAAGCACCATTTAAATGCAAAAGCAGTTTTAATACTATATATTTTTTTCTTCTTACAAACACATAGCTTTTGGCTTCACAAGATGTTAACTGATGGACTGGAGTTGTGTGGATTATTGTGATGTTTTATCAGCTGTTTGGACTCTCATTCTGACGGCACCCATTCACTGCAGAGGATCCATTGCTGAGATGCTAATCCAAACCAGCCTCTGTTCTGATGGAAAACTGATATTGCATCATTAGACAGTGTTTCCATAGAGTCCCAAACACACCTGGTGTGTTGTAGTGAAACTCTAGACACTGATGTGAGGAAACCGTAAACCATCACTGTATGTGTGAACACGTGGGGTTTCTGTCTGGTAGAAGCAGAGTGCTTTTTCTTTCTTTTTTTTTTTTACCATAATTTCCACCAAAACACCATACCGTTATACATTAACCCTATGAAGTCTACTGTATTGCATTTGATACTCAAAATTCTAAGGCCTCTAAATGATCAACATGATCAAAACTTTGCTGTTAAACCTGTCATACACAATCTACTACATTGTCATCGGATTGATACTTTAGACTTTTTTAGCATGTAAAAGGTCTTTTAGTTTAATTGTACAAATATCCACCTCCAGCTCGTACTTCACGTGTCTTTCTGCTGTGAAATTTTTACTGATTTTTATCAAGTAAATGTAAGAATACTTTTTCTGTAGTTAGTAATATTTCAAGATGAACACTTACTGGACTGAAGCGATGTAGCTTTACTTTTTTTACTTTTTTTTTTAGAAAAATCATGAGTATGATCCATCAGGCTTTTGAGGAAATGTATTTGTTCATCTCTCAATCATCGTTGTATTGCATTGGATTATATGTTTTGATCATGAAGCTAAGCATTCATATCTTCTAAAATACATATTATTGGATATACAGAGTGATGATTGATATTTATATAGTTTTATGTAAGTATCTGCTATACTGTTATAAAGATCTCATTGATTTACATGACAGTCACAATTTCATCTTACTTTTTGTCCATATAAATAGCATCTGCACCAAATTGCATATTTTTGCTCAGTTTGTGTTAGGGATGCACGATATATCGGCCACCATATCGGTATCGGCCCATATCGGCTCATTTTTTCTGTTATCGGTATCGGCCTGATAAGAAAATTTGGCCGATATCTTAAAGCCGATAAATAATGCATTATTTCCTTCAGAGACACTTCAGATGCGCGCTGTTCGTTTGCAGCCTTTTGTGCAATTGTACGTTGTAATATTGTGTTTATTTGATGTATATCTGATTTATCTCATATAGAATGCGTTTGGTTAAGTTAAAAGAGCGCTTCAGTTTACCGGTGATCATCTTTAGCTCAGCACACGCAGCTCAAACAGCAGTGCACAACATTAATAACTATGATTGGGAATGTTGTGTATATAACATTCTAATGAGAACATTATTATAATAAAACGTTGTGCATTCTTTGGGTTTAGTTGCTGTGTTTCAGCGCGTTGTTATGGGAAGAGCGCATCCACAACAGGATCACACATTCTGACTATAGCATGCAATAACTGCGTCATTTGTCATTTCATATATAAGTTGTAATATTATGTTTATGTTGTATTAATATTAATCTCAGGATGCATTTCCTTGAGTTAAATAAGCTGCCAGCAAAACGCTTCAGTTTACCGTGTTCATTCAGCTCTTCAGCTTCAGCTTGAGCTGCAGCTCAATGGCTGCTATTTAAAACAGTGGTATTAATTTGTTACTTTTTCAAAATCATTGATATATTATTAATAACAACAGCCACTTGTATTTTTCTCTTATTATTTTCATCAACAATATGGTTTAGTAATTAAAATCATTTAATTATTGTCCGTGCAGAGGCTATTCCGTTTTATTGATCTATGGCGCATTCATTTTGATTCTTTACACGTGTAATGATGTCCAGTGACTTGTTTGCATTATTTTATTTATTTGTAAGACTTTTTTATGACTAAATTTGGTAATGGGAGAGTAAAAATATTTTTAAAACGTACCACCGTTCAAACTAGGCTGCTTATGTTGAAGTGTTTGGGATGTGGCTTTTAATGATGAGACCTTTTTTGTAATCAGGCTCTCAAAAAGTATATAACAATTTGGATATAGATTTATCGGCCAACATATCGGTTATCGGCTTTCAAAAATAAAGAATAATCGGTTATCGGTATCGGCCAAAGTGTTCATATCGGTGCATCCCTAGTTTGTGTCTCTGAATAAAACGGAGCTGTTTTTCCTCCGTATTCTCACTATATCATTATGAGCCATAAAAGCCTGATGTATCAAATATGATACGCAACAAAACCTAAAAAAATATTATTATTTTTTTTTTAAGAATTTTGTCTTAAGCTTCACTAAACTGTTCCTCAGAAAATTTTGGGTAAGAATAAAATGGAATTTTGGAACAAATAAAATAGAATTTAGGGGAAAAATTTAACAAATAAGGCTACGTTTACACTAGTGCGTTTTTGTTTTAAAACGCATAACTTTTGCTACGGTTAGGCCTGTCGCGTTCACCATCTAAATAATGGTGTGTCTACGTATACATATCTATGGTTGTACCTGCATGAATGTTCATGTGACATGCGTTTTCGGTTGTGTAGTGTGGACAGAGATCATTTCTGAAACGTAGGGAAAACGCCAGTGTAGACGAAAATCGTTTTCATTTTAAAATGCCGTTTTAAAACAAAAACGCACTAGTGTAAACGGGGCCTAAGTAGATGCTTTTCTCAAAGCTGAGTTTGTATTTTAAGAGGCCTTGTGTTGCGTCTGGAGTTTAGAATAGATGATTTAAAGTCTGCTCTGATAGTTCAGTGTTCAGCTCTGTTGTGTTTATTTCGCATCGATTGTAGTCCTGAAAGGTATTAAAGTCCAGAATTTTAGTTTTCATCACAGTGAAGTCATGCTCAGGCCTTCAGATGCTTCATTTGAAAGTGTATTCAGTAGCGTGGAACGGTTTTGTGCTTCGGGTCTGGAACCGAGCATCCTTGTCTCTCATCTGCCCTCTCAATGCTTTCATACTCTCCCTTCAGCAAGGATGTCAAACACACACACACACTTGCCGCTGGTGTTTTTCCATAACGAGCAGAAGGTCGTGTTTTAGTACGGAAGTCATTTCTGTGAGAGAGATTGGATCAGTGGCTGAATGTCCGCAGGTCGCCGCTTACATTTGTCTCCTGCTGAGAGACACCGCGGTCCAGCGTCTCTGTTTGATGATGTCATATCCTCTTCCCCTGTCTTTACCTGCTTGTTATGTTTACAGATCGTCTCCAGAGATCTTAAGTACACAATTTGGATTTTATGTTGTTTAGAGAGCAAACAGTCTTTGGCGTCATGTACCCCTCAGTGTCCTCTCTTGCGTGTTGCACTTGTGATCTGTGTTGATCTCGGTGGGGTGTCTGAAGCGGAGCAGTTTTTCATGAAAAGTAAAAAAATGTAGGCGACGCCTGTGTTTGCACAACAGGACATGTTTGGTGTTACATTCTCACTCTCTGTGTCGTGAGTTATCAGAAAACTAAAAATAACTCAACACTGGCAAAGAATAACACGTTAAGCATTCAGAAGTTTGGGGTCCGAAGGACTTTAATACCTTTATTCAGCAAGAATGCATTCAATTGGTTAAAAGTGACAGTAAACATTAATACTGTTACAAACGATTTCGAATCGATTTAAAGAAATGCTGATCTTTTGAACTTTCTATTCATCAAAGAATTCAGAAAAATTAAATAAATGACTGTTTCCACAAAAATATGAAGCAGCACAACTGTTTTCAACATTGATAATAATCAGAAATGTTCTTGAGCAGCAAA